CGTTCACGTACCATAACTCTCGGTAACATCGATGCTGATTTGGCAGAGCGACAACGCGAGCTGTTAACCTGAGAGTACATGTGTAAGTAAAAACCTCGCCGGAAATCGCTACATATTCTTGGGGCGTGGATGGTGGTGGTGGTTTAGGGGAGCTTCGTTACACCAGGACCAAATTGTGCAGGTTGAGAACAAGACTTGCGGTACCTGCCAAGAAAATAATTCGACGCACTGTTCTTGGCCTCTTATTATGAACTGTTGTACTCCGTACTGTTGTTCTTCGATACCAGACCATGCTGTTATTAATTATTATCATTAGTCTGTTGCGAGTTTACCCGAAATTTGTGAGCGCGGTCCACTAACTGACGGGTTCGATTTCGTTTAGTCTGGATGCAAAAGTGGACACCTCTGAGCATTACGACAAACCAGAAGATGTTCCTAATTTTGTCAGTGTTCACGCACCTCACTGACTAAATTTGAGGATCCGAGCCTTTTCTGATACGTCCTACCCTGCCTACTAGGTAGATCTGGTCTGTTCATCAAATTTCCACTACCCTTGGCACGACTTGCAGTACCCTCAAAGACCAATAAGTGATGCGCTCTCTGAGTGTCAGTTTGATGGATCGTATCTACACTGCTGTATTCGAGGTTTCAGTTGTTAGCTGTGGCGATCTCGGTCACTTAAACTAGAGAAATTACTGCGGTTACCCGGTGCTTCTGGTCCACAAAACTGGTCTTGACGTGGCGTCAGACTAAAACGCATGCCGCATATGGCGGCTATGCCGCTGTATTATTACTCAGCAGTTTTATGGCACTCAGACAACACAATCACGTGGCAGTTCTCGTCATATCGTATCCTCGGGCCCGTTTGACTCACAAGAACGCTGAGCACCGGTCCTTGGACCAGATACTATGACAATTTCACGGAATCCACCTACACTTCTGAGAAAGGGCCTGCTGTATTTCCATCGTCTCAGGTTCACACCAATTTACTTTCTTCGGTAGTCAACTGAAGTAGAGACAGGCGAATAACTACAGAGGTGCACATATGCCTGAATCACATTATGGAGGCAACGAAGAGTATCCTTTTCATGTTCATAGACTAGGGCAGGTGACTAGTGAGCCCTTGTGAAGCATACCGGCTCTACTAAACTCTCCATACAGCAGCATTACGCCCTTGCTCCAATTATTTTCTTTATTCAATAATACTAGAACCTGCCAGTTAATTCAGAGATCGAATAGCGAATGGGAAAATTACAAAGGCAGTCGCAAATAGCACACATATTGATTCAACCAGTGACGTAAGTGACAGATAACCCCAGGAGAAGAGATAATTAGCCACACTCAAATCCTGTCTCTGAACTCTTAGTGCAACGAAAATCAACGCAGAACAGTCGACACTGTTGTGTCAAGTTTGAATGGAGATCAAAACTATGTGCAGAACGTGCAAAGGATAGGAGTTTCCTGCGTCACTTACCACGCCCGATATCATTTCTGGCCAGCTAACCACGGTCCGTCGCCGGTAAAGGCTAGCAATGAAACCGATCCAATGTCTACGTCCCCAGGATAGTTTCGACATGCTTAATGTCCTGGCTTCGAAGGCTGCCACTAGAGGTGATAGTTTGGTCCTCCTTAGGACCCTGTTGGGTCGCACAAGTTCCCTCATGCGGTCTTTTTTAGTAACTCACGTGGTGAAATTCGGCTGTTTGATGGGGACACACCACCTGTCTTTTTGGCCTTTTCTTGCCAGCGGAAAGTGTGTGGAGAGATAGATGCAGTACATCCCCGTCCCCCGCCGTAACTCAGCTCGCACCTCTATATCATCTATTTAGGTAGTTGATACGCTCTTCAAATTCGACCCCCCCTTCATCTTTTAGCCTGAGCCGCGCCTTCCTGCCTTAAAATAACTTTTTTCCCGTGTTACTGCCTCGTAAGTGCGCAGCGTAGACAAGTGGCGCATGACCGGAGGACTCAAAGGTTAGCCGAAAAAAGTTTTATTGTCAGAAACTGCCTATTAGGTGCCTGTGGACACTCGTATATGGGAAGGGTGGTGGAAGGTTGGGTTACAATCCCAGACTGCACATTTAAAAATCCATCCCAATGTCGACGAGGGTTCACAAGAAACGGGGAAGCACAACCCAAAGGCGCCTGAGAGTATGCAAATACTAAGCGATAAGAAAGCTCTTAGAGAAATTGCTGTCAAACCTTTGAAGACTTAGGTTGTGCAGAGGATGCTTCTGAGGAGAATAATCTCAAATAACAGAAAAGTAGCAGAGTTGCGCATTCAGTGGAAAGTGGGAGTCCATGAGGAAGTGGCTGGTTTTTATTCTGGAATCGGTAGGTCCGACGTTGAACGGAGGGAATCAACTTCTTGAAGAGAGAAAGAGAGAGTTGCGGATGGCACCCTGCAGAATGATGTCCTACACTGCCGTCCTCTCGGCCAGGAGAGTGTAGCCCTTAGAGCGGATCACGCCACGATGTTTGAACGTCTCTGAATATCGTACAAGCCACAGCGGCCGCCAACCAGTTGCATCATCGGGTGAGAATTCTTTGCTTATAATGGAAACTAGCCAGTCCGTGCGCAGAATATCTAAACAAGCAAAGTCAGCAACATTAGTGACCGCGGGGGCAACCAACACTTAATGAGTAAAAAGTGTTCAGGCTAAACAAACAGCAGGAACTTGTGGCCAGAAAAAAAATGTGCATCCAAAACAAAACATGTGCAGATTTTTTTAACAAAAGAGTCAATAATCGCTGACTTTAATTCCGTTATTAAACTTATGGTGATAAAAATTACGTAACAGCGTAGGAATACGGATATAAACCTGATCCTGTTGGTCATTCTCCCTATCAAACTACACAATTAATAACTGCACGCACCTGAGGAGTCTTGATGAGTAGTCAACTGAACGTCATGTATCTTGGCAAAGTTCTGCAGCTCGTCGGTAAGCCGACAGGTGCTTCCAAGAAATAGTTGGTTCACTTTCGGAGGAATCTGAAGGCAGAAACTTAAAATAGTGACAATGTCAATGATAGTGAATAACACAATATTTAACCATTAACCGGAATTAAATGAAGAGGGCCCACAGAAATTTACTATTTATTTATTTCTCATTTTCCAAGTGACGCCTTTCCTTCACAATATTTCTTACTCTCCAAAATCAGTCGGTTGTGTAAAAGTTTGCAAAAGAAAAATATCTTGAAGATGATTAAGAACGACCACCGTCCCAAAATACACGGTATGCGGCGAAACTTATGACACACTGGGCGAAATCTCTAACTGCGCATTAAGACAAAAGTATTGCCTAAGTAACTTTGTTAAGCCCCTTAAATTTCTCAAAAATAAGCGTTCGAACTCGGAATAAATCCTTTGCGACACATTTTTTTCAGGGTCGGCCTGAAAAGATATGTCCCAAAGGATTTACTTTAGCTCGACGTATTGATTTCTGAAGTAATTTTAAAAAATTGAAATTTGAAATAGAAAGCAGAATACACCCGCGATCTATGGGGTACCCAGGGATGAACCAAAGCCCTCGCAGTTTCTCTGTCCAGTGGCAAAGAATCAGGGAAAATGATTCGGAGTTTTTAGCTGGTAAACGTACCGCCGTTTCGGCGAAATCTATGTGATTTTGCAATACGCACTAACGTGGACTGTCACTTGCTTGACAATATTCTTCGCCATCCATAAAAAGCACACTGGGGAAAAGCATCGTTTAATTTTAGGTATTAACATGGATTAAATCTCTCTTTGGAGGGGATGCAGGAAAGTCTTGTTTTTACATTCGAGTGCCTTGGGCTAGACTTTAGTAAGCAGGATAGAAGGTGGCTAACAGAGATAACGATACCTTAACGGAGGAGAGGAGTAATTCCATCTCTTCGGCTGACATGTCACAAACTCCTAGACGGAAGACTTTGTTTGATTTGACGAATTCCTCGAGAATTGGCCACACTTTTAGGAGGCTCTCGGCAGTACCAATGGAGATTTTTGCGGAGGGGAGTTCCATGCAGGGATCTACGTCAGCAGGAGGAGCTTTTGAAATTTCGGGATCAAGCGACACGATGAGAGTCTCAATATCTGTCAAACCGAGTCGATCGAGTGCTGTAAAATGTGTAAGTTAAAAAGCGCAAGTCATTTGCTGATGTCTGCGGTCTGGATAAAAAGAATGCAATGTTACAAGAATGAGAGAAACACAGCTATCACTTAGTAGAAGGAACTAAATAGGGTTCATAATTTGGCAGCATTACAAGACTCAGTAGACACTGAATTGACACTTACTGCGGTTAATCGCCTGGCGTACGGCCTCTGGGTCATATGTTGACAAAAAGACCTTGGCTGAAAGATACGTTAAGTCATTTGATTCAAACCTGTCACGGAGATGTCAGGCCTTTCTGAATCGGGGATTTTGTCCCGATGTAGTTCACAAAAAACGTTTAGCTCTTTTTCGGCCTAAAATGATGGACGAACATTTTAATCTATATATATAATATATATATATATATATTTACTGGAGCCATTCAGCGAAGACAATTAGATCAAAAAAATATTATTTATTCCTAATTATTTTATGTAAATACAAATTATACGCAAGTAAAATAAAATGTTTCCTGTTGTTGTACGACTGGCAGGGTCGAAAAGAGAATTTAAAGAATGATTCAAAATGAAGTCAGTGTTTAGTTTTAAAGGAAAGGCAGATATAAATCTTACGCTGAGGTCTTTATCGGCCGTGTTTTTGTGCCAGCAGTGCAGAACAGTTTCAATACACTTGGTGGGCTGAAGATTTAAGATACATGTTAGGGACAAACCGTGGCCATCAAACTGAAAACAACATTCATTAATGGTAACTAGCGAGTAGTTAACAACATATCCAGTGCTCTTCGTAAAATTATGGTACAGGTTCTGACGACCTAGCATAAACGATGCAACGATTAGCCAAGCTGCAGGCTACCTGGCGCGTCCACGGGTGGCGGATAGTGGCG